ACCAAACTCTTGTCGATCCCTTAAGTGTAGTGGGAAAAGCTCAGCACATGATTTCATCTGGCACAGCGTGTAAATGCATAAGAGCTTGAAAGGTCTTCAGGTGATCGAGGGAATCTTTGGTCCCATCGAAGCTTTCGAACGAGGGCATCCTGAACTTGCTAGGCAGGAGGCATTTTTGTAATACTCCTAATTTTAAAAGGATAGTCTCAGTATTTATTTATTTATTTTAATTGTAATTTTAATTATTTAATTAATTATTTGATTAATTGCTTATGAGTTTAATTGTATTAAGTGTTACTTGAGTATTTGATTATGTGTCTATATGTTATTTGTATTTGTCTATGTGTTAATTATTTAATTAGATTATGTGCTTAAATGATGTTTTGATTAATTGTAAATTAAATGTTTTATTTTATTTTATTATTATTATTATTTATGGTTATAGTTAGTAGTAATGGGCCAACCAATTAAGGCTTACAGACTACTTGGATATGAAGTTGGATGGGTATGGATTATTACCGATGGATAGTTATGTATATATATGTATAGATATATATTATATACATATATAAAAGGGAAAGTAATTTATTAATTACTTTTATGATAACTTGGGTAGTAATATTTAATCTGATGTATATGTTTTATATTTAAATAATAAAAATATACATAGATTTGATACGTGTTATATTTTAAGTTACTTAATAATATTATGATAACTTAAATATTATTGGATAATTCATTAATAAATAATGGGTAATTTATTAATTACTTTTATGCTAACTTGGGTAGTAATATTTAATTTGATGTTTATGTTTTATATTTAAATTATAAAAATATACATAGATTTGATACGTGTTATGTTTTAAGTTACTTTATAATATTATGGTAACTTAAGTATTATTGGATAATCCACTAATAAATAATGGGATGTATATAATTTATTTATTTAATAAGGATATACATAAATTATATACTTATCATGTTTTAGGTTACCTTATAATATTATTGTAACTTAAGTATTATTAGATAATCTGCTAATAAATAATGGGATGTATATAATTTATTTAATAAGGATATACATAAATTATATACGTATCATGTTTTAGGTTACCTTATAATATTATAGTAACTTAAGCATTATTAGATAATCTGCTAATAAATAATGGGATGTATATAATTTATTTAATAAGGATATACATAAATCATATACGTATCATGTTTTAGGCTACCTTATAATATTATGGTAACTTAAGTATTATTAAATAATCTGTTAATAAATAATAAGATGTATATAATTTATTTATCTAATAAGGATATACATAAATTATATACTTAACATATTTTACGTTGCCTTTTTTATATTTAATTTTTATTTTTCTCTATTAAATTGACTTGGAATGAAATTAGGATTAGGGTTAACTTTCTTTAACTTATATATACATAAGTATAAGTCTGTAGGAGGCTTCAAAAAAAATATAGTACGTGATTTTATATCAGAGAGAGAAGGAGGAAGAAGAAGGAATAAGGATAAAACCCTTTAGAGAAGAGGATCTAGGAAGAAGAAATTTAACTTTCTATCCGAAAATTTAAGGTAAGTTCTTCTTCTATCTCTTTCCCTTTGATTCGTATTTCTATACATGCCTAGGAAATTTCAGGATTTATTAAACACATAAAATTAAATAATTATACATGTTTAATTGAATTAGAGTATAAGTTTTATGAAATTGGTTCATATCTGTTCTTGTGTTATAAATTATAAATGCATGATTTTGATTTGATTTCTGGTGTGAATTTTTACATGTTTAAATTATGTATTTTTTATTTCTGTAGAATGATGGAATATAGAAACATGCTTAGGATTCATGAACATTAAATAGGGATTAGGTTTAGGTTTAAATAAATTTAACTAGACTCAATCATAATGATGCTTGCTATTCGAATGTTTTAAACAAATGAATGGATTTAATCTTTCAAAATGTTTTAGCAATTAAGATTAAATGTGTAGGATGAATTAGATATAGAGAATACTTATTTGACAGTATAATAAAATATCATGTATAAGATTCAGTTTGTGTAAGACATATGATATAGGAAGTTTAAATAAATAATAAGTCATTCCTATTTTGTGATTACTTGATATCATATTATCATAGTTATTTCTGGATTGTTTGATGTATTTCATTAATTGTTACATCAATTGTTGGATTGTGTGGTTTAATGCACCGGTATGGGACGGTGGCATTCTAGGGACGGATTAACTTATCAGTTAAATCCTACCTATTTTATATAAGGAAATGAATTAACTAAAATGTTAAGTCCTACTTATATTCAAGTCAGGTCAGCTGAACAAGTTGAATGACTTGTGAAGGATTAATTTATTATATAAGGGAATGGATTAACTAAAATGTTAAGTCCTACTTATATTCAAGTCAAGTTAACTGAACAAGTTGAATGACTTGTGGAGGATTAATTTATACTGGATAGGATGGTTACTAGATTACATATATATAAGTATGGTGCCATGATATGAGCTTGAGTCTCAAGATCAGTGGTTAGGGTGTGTATATCGCTAGGGATATGTAGCTAGATATAGTGTAGTTGTGTGTCCTGGTAGGTCTAAGTACTCATGCCCACTATATGTGCATTTTGCATGTTGCTTACAATTCAGGTTGAGACAACCCTATAGTCTAGTGAGGTTCTTTTAGTGTGTGTGTGTGTGTGTGTGTGTGTATATATATATATACGGACTACTAGTTATTGTTGGATTAATTAAGATGTATACGTGTATCGAATCTCTGCTTGAACTGTAATAGAGTAGAACTTGTTTATGGGTCTGATCCACCATTATTTTTCAAGTGTTCGTAAAGAGTAGAGATTATTCGTGCTAAACAAGGATCAATCTACTTCACTCTTCTGGTTTATCTACATAGGAGTTCCTTTATGATTCAGTTTCCTGATTTAGACAGTTATTCCTGTCATTTGTTTAGTTTGGATTTTCTAGGGGTCCACACAGTATGGATTCCCGAGTTGTATTTTGGAGGATCAGTTATATCAGAAGAATTTATTAATTAATAGAAATATATTCTGAGGTTTATTATTGGATTATCATTTTAGTTTCTTGTCAGCATTTTATTTATTCTTATTTATTCTTTTGTACTCTGTGTTCGTTTATTATCGATTTGTTTTGATATCTCCAGGTATTCGGGCGTGGCCCTGGCCAACCCGCATGCGAAAATCCGAGGGTATCACAATTTCATAACAGCGGGGCTGAACAGCAAGTTGGTCTTCTGCACCAGCTTATCATGGTGGTAGAAACTTTCCCTTTCATAGCCTGCATGACATCTTCCATTTTCGCCTTAAGATCCTCAATCTGTAAGTCGAAATATGTAACTTTCTCTATCTTTTCCTTAACACAGAAGGTTGTGCCTATTTGAGACTGTGGATTTCATAGAGGCAGGGAAGGAGGTTCTCTGTGTCGGTTTCCAACTTGGCTTTGTTCTGCCTCGAACTTGTGAGAATGATTGTTTTCTCGGTCCTCTTCGTGTTATCCCCTATCATTCAGATTAGGAGGATATAGGTCGGATAATTCTTGTTGAGGTGGTGGTCCCACTGGGATAAGATGTTGCAAGATCTCTGCATTTTGTTGGATCAACTGATCCATACCCTGATTCAGAGTTTGGACCTGTAGTTTTAACGCTGCAAGCCGTTCCTGGTCATTCGGGACATTTGGGTGTTCACCCGACCCTTCTCTTTAACTGGATCCCTGCAATAATGTTTCTATTCCAGTTACCATACCGGACCGCATGTGCAGATACCCAGCCGAGTAATTGATTTAAGGGAATCGTCGTTCCTACTTACGATGCCAACTGTTGAGGGTGAAATCCATGCGGTCCGATACGACACCGTTTTCCTGCAAATAAGAGAGTACAAGATCGATGAATCTTGACGACACCGGTATGGTGCCTGCCAAAAACTCTCCGACGATCAAGTCAATCATCGGAGGTCTAAAAGAAAGGCAGTGATTTAATAATAGTTTTTTTTTTTTTTTTTTTTGTCATTCCTTTATTGACTGGTAGAATCTCATTCTTATAGCTGCTTTCCCTAAGTTCATTTGCGGGATCAGAAGAAATCCGCGTGTGCGAGATCAGAGGAGATCCGTTTGTTGCCAGATTTGTCGGAGATATAATTTAATCTTTTTGACTTCTTCAAATTGTGCCAAGGTTATCCTTACCCTGTTGAATCACGTCATTTTTCATTATACTTGATAATAAAATGTTATCATTCTTATCTAATAAAAATATTATCATTCAAAAGTCGAAGAGATCTGATGACTAATCAACACTTAGTTACCTCTGTCATTACGTCAACGTAAGCTAAGTTTATTTTTTCTATCAATGTCCTTTGATCATTTCTTTTCCGGTAAATGGTGAGTTATGTACTCATTTGTTTTTTTCACTGGTGGGTTATGTACTTTGATCATATTTATATTTTTCCTTATCAGAGGACATATATATATATATATATATATATATATATATATATATATATTAGTATGGCTATGATATTGACTCATTATGTGTTATATGAAATGTCTTCGTTGCCCACGATTGAGTTGTTTTCGTTGTGGCCAGATAAACTAAAACTTCTCGAGCTATTGGGCCAAATCGGAGGACTTGTCCAGTCTGGACCTATAGTGGGCCAAAAAATAAAGAGGAAAGAATTCATATACTTTTTAGTTTTTAACCAAACAAAAAGTTGAGCAGCAACAAATTATTATCCAGAATGGGAGCCACATTAATATATATATATATATATATATATATATATTGAGTTGTAAAAAGGAGAGAATTTTGTCCATTTAGTGATTTACATACAAAACCTTTTCGGGACTCTATTAGGCTTCTGGAACTATAGTGGGTCCACAAAATAATCACAACATTTTTTTACGTGTTCAAGTTGGTTTTCAACATCCTATAATAGCGCTTGTAGCAATCCTTTTAAAAAACAGTCCCCTTCGAAGTCTTAATAAGTCACTGGACTCTTCTCTTCTCTTATCTTCATCTTTCAACGCTTTTGTTTTCCACATCTAGCAAAAACTACACTATGAAGTCTCTACCGATTCTGCTAACATGCGCGGTGATGCTCACAGTCTTCACCCTCGCACTCCCTTCCACCGTCCTGGCATATCCCTCCCCCTACGGTGCCGCCTGTAAACCCACCGCCGCCGACGATCTCGTTCCTGTAAGAAGAGAAGTGTACGGTAACGGAAGAATTTTTGATATTAGCCATAGGTACAGCCCCGACATGCCTTCTTGGGGATCCGATGACGGTGTGGGCCAGTTTCTCTGGCTTCCGGCGAGTATGAAGAACGGCTCGCTCGCTAACAATTCCGAGATGAAGCTTCCCACTCACACCGGCACGCACGTCGATGCGCCTGGTCATGTTTTCGACCACTACTTTGATGCTGGCTTCGATGTCGACACTCTTGACCTTGAAGTACTCAATGGTAATCATCGAGATCAAGCTTATTCCACATATTGAATGTTATATGTTTGATGAAATTACAATTATTGCCTACTCTGAGATATAAAAGAGAGAAATACAATGTATTGTATATTGATATTGATATTGATATAATCGCTAATCTTACATGGGTATTTGTCATCACTAAAAATTCAACCTTTTAATCCGCAAGCAATATGGCCATTATACTACTAGAATTTAATTCTCAATTTTATTTTATTTGTATACATGTGTGTTTATTTCTGGCTTCGAGGCATGTAATCTTTCATTCGGTTAGGAAAGTATGAGGTATGTGTTGATTTCTGTAGTTTGCTTTGTGGCAATGGCAAAGGTTGAATTTACTGTGATTCAGTTGTTTCCAGATGATGTATACCTATCTGTGGGTGATGAGCACTAAATTCAGTGCAATATGATTCCTTCTCGAAAAGAAATTAATGGCAACAAAAGAATATTTATTAAGTTACACATGTCTAGTCCTGAAATGCCCATTCGGGACTCTGAGGAGGGAATTGGGCATTTCCAATACTTTTTTATACCATGAATTATGGCTCAAGCTGTTGCACTGGTACTCATTACTTGATGTTGAATTTGGTGTGGGCACACTCGACCTAGAAGTCCTTTGACGTTATAATTTCGTTAATAGTGTGTCTTTTGTTTGGCTACAATGCTTGATTTATAGTTCCTTGAATGACCACTGGCTGCTGGATGCTGCTCAATCGAATTTTATTGGTATGGAAGCAACTCTTCTTTGAATGCTTGGTACTTTCAGTAAGAAACAATTTGGAGAACCTTCCTAAGCTCAGAGCATCTTCCTTTGAAGCTGAAGAAAACCATTTAAAGATCTTTGTTATTATAAACTCTGGTTATACTGTCTTTGTGGTTTGTTCTTTTTAAGTAATTCTTGTGTCTTTGTCTTTTTTTATGATGTGGCCTTGTTTGCTTTTGATTCCTCACATCCAAGTGGGGGTTTCTCCCCTCATTTTCTTTTGAGACTTCCCACATTTATGCTTATTTTCATATTATTGATGATTATATCTTTGTGTTTTAACAGGTCCTGCCTTGGTAGTCGACGTTCCAAGGGATATGAACATAACTGGTATCAATTTGCAATATATTTTTCATGTTTAATTGGATATATATTTTTCTTTCTTTCCTTGCTGTATGCTACTTGATATGAAAATTGCGCATCATTGATTGCCCCTAAGCAATTTTTAGCACTTACCAAAGAAACAGAAAATTGTTATATGGGCCATCATAGCATAAGGAAACTGCATCGTATTTTATGTACTAGGCTTTGAAATGACTTCCGCATTTGATCAATGATTTAGCGCACTCATAATAGTTTGTACCAAATATTTGGAATGTGACCTGCGAGACCTGGGAGGTGTAGGTTGAACTATTGCTACCCCAAAGGGAGAGGTAAAAGAGCAAAGGTTTAAATTCTGGTTGGGACATGGGTGAGTGTGTGTATTATCAGAAAAAAAAGTGAAGAATACAACTATGGAACGAGGCATTATTAGGATCTAGGGCAGGTTTGTTATTCTATTGATGTCACTAGATGGATATCTGAGATCAGTTATTTTAAATTACTACTCCAAGAACATTGTATAATCTCCAGAAGTAGCTTGCCCTCTCTTGTTTACGTTTGGCAAATCTCCATATGTATATGATATAATTGATCCTGTCATCTCCTTAAGCCTATCAAAGAGCAGGGGCTTTCGGATTTTTCTGGAATCCCTTATTGACCCTTGAAAATATATTTGTTAATATTTTTCAATCCTCGAATGAGCAAGATTTTCAGAGAGGCTGATTAAATCAGTGGTCCCTTGCATAAAATGTGAGGAACTAGCATCAATCTCTCCAAAGAAATGCCTAGCTGGGGTCCATGAGAAAATGTTATCACATTGTAGTCATGAATGGTACACACACACACACACACACACATATGGATATAATTTCACATTGTTTTTAGAGTTTCAACATGATGGCGAAGATCCCTTGCCTGTTCTGCAATACCCTTTGGAGATGAACGTATGGAATGCAAAAAATTCATGTGGAAGTGATCCACAAGTCTGACTTTATTAATTTGATGCTATATAGAAAAGAAGCAATTCTGCAATCAAGGCATACTTAATCAAGTGATTTGCTAAGATATTTGCATCACCCACATGAGGATTACTTGGTTAGATTCACTGTTCATCTTAAAATGTTATTCTCCTCCAAGTTAAATTTTTTAATTGTGCTACCTATTTAGGTAATATATCTTGGTGGCATGGAGCTGGAAAATCTCTCTTAAGTAGTAGACATTGAATCTACTGCCACATGTTTTCATTTCAGTGATGTGTCAATGTTATGCAATTCAAGTAGACACAACATCTTTCATATACGCATACAATTGTAGAACAATGTGCAAAAAATTGCTGATTATATTTTCTTTTGGAATTGATACAAGCATCTTAAGTTTCGGACTTCTCTCTGGAAATGGGTTAAATCATGACCATATTTGCTTCTCACAGCTGAAGTTATGAAGTCGTTAAATATTCCCAAGGGAGTACGCCGTGTGCTATTCAGAACATTAAACACTGACAGGTAATTTTATAACAAGCAGAATGTTTATGTATGTGGGACATGATTGGATTGTGGAGGGTTTTGAAGTAATATTTTTATTATATGGCATCTAGTATCTCTTTTTATTGCTGTTGTATGCATCTAGTACTTATTATGACTTTACAAGGGATATTGTTTTAAACAATATTGTTGCATTTAACATTTGTCATAACTAGAATTTGAATTTGCTACAACAGTGAGCTAAAATTCTCCAAGTTATTATTATCAAAATTTCAGGTTAGTATAGATTACTTTGCTGGTCCAAGTGACTTTTGTAAAATAACCACTGCTAGTGTTACTGTTCCTGCTGAGCAAACAACTAAGCTTCTTGTACCTACACTTTGGACAATGATCTGGGGGAGCATTGAGGGCAACAAGAAAGCCCATCTAACCAGTTTTGACATCTTTTGTCAGCCCAAAAATGATTGTGTTCAAGGAACATGCTGGGACTTTTAACTGATTTTACCAGATTTGGGCTGAAAAATGGTTGATGAACCCTCTGAACTTTGAGCCAGAACCTTCAAGTATGTTAAAACTCACAAGACAAGTCACTTTTTTTGAAGCTACCCTTGGCTCGTCTGTCTCCAACATTTATAGAAGTATACTGTTTAGGACAAGGAAGGGACTCTGGAAAGAGGTTACTGTGCCAAAAGTGGGGATTGGAGAACAAATTAGATTTTGGCTTGAACATTGGCCTCAAGTCTATGGAAAAAAACAAAAAAAAAAAACATGCCTTGAATTAGTTTAACTCAACATGGTCAGAGACAGGAGGCATTGTATGAACCATGCTCTTGATGAGAGATGAAAATATAGAGTAAGATGAAATAAATTTGAGAATTTTTGTAACGATGAAGCACCTATTATTTATGAATCACAAGAACGTGGACTAATTTTAATGAGATATGGCAAAAGGTAAGACAAATTTGCAGATGTTATTGGGGCTACAAATGAACTGATCTGCACTTCAAATTTTTTGGGGTCCAGCCGTCCGGCTTGCTTAACTCGGATACGTGCTTAGTCTTAGCTCGGTTCAAACTCGAACAGACTTGGCATGGTGGTCAACGTCAAATTGATATTATTTAGCCGCGCTCTTGTTACATATCTATATATTATTTATCTATAACTTTAAACTACATCAAGAATGTTGCAAATTCAAGTTAATATTTCTTAAAAGTTAAACCTCAAACAAGGCTGGTCTAAAAACAATGGCAAGACTTGTTAAGTGTTGTCCTCCGACCAAGATGCACTTAACTGAGAGAGGAGAAGGAAATATTCTCTTTACCATGTGAAACAGGATGTCCAAGGTGTACCAGGATCATCATCATCATCATCATCCTTACCTTTTCTCCAACTGAATGGGTTTGGCCTGAGGAATTTTCTTTTTCTATACTATTATATTATGCACCTTGTCCAAGGAAAAGGTGCTTGTATTGAGCTTTTCCCTGTCCCACACCAATTGGAGAAGGGAGTTTTCTCTTTTGTCTTGTCTATTAAAATTGAATTTTATGTAACTTTTATGACTTGATATATTGGCCTAAGCCTCCTAGTTGTATGGATGACCATTTTATGATTGGCTGGGTCCTTAAGACTTAAATTAAGTCCAAATTTAAATGAGCAGTCAATGTTATTTGCTCAAGAGTGGGATGAATGGGCCAATTGTATGTGTTGTTCACATGCCTGACGAGCCAAGATGGACATTGTTTGGGCTCACCCTTATAATAAACGAGCTTGAAAAATGAGTTTAAGCTTGGCTCGTGATATGATGAATGAACATGAACTGAGCTCAGCCAACGCTGAGCTGTTCATGTACAGCAGTTTGTTTGTAACCTAGATATTCTATAAATACTATCACGGTCCACTTTACAAATAAAATCCTGCTTGAGTTGGATGTTTTGGATTTGGGGTCTACTTGAGTTTGATGTCATTTTTTATTCTATTCCAATAATAGAAAGTACATGTAATGTACTAGTAATAGAAAGTACATGTAATGTACTAGTATCCAAATGGTTAAGATGCATAATTGGAACCTGTTACACTTCTCCTCTCCAAAATGATTGTGCTATCATAATTTGTTGCCATTCCATGATCAAAACTACCCATTTGCTTTTCAATTCACTTCAATTCAGGGGCCGGAAATTTTTCTGAAACCAGACCTCAGTTATTTTTGGAAAAGATTCCATGTGAACTAAAACCTAATTAATTTTCAGGAGGCTTATGTGGAAAAAAGAGTTCGACACAAGCTATGTCGGATTCATGAAAGATGGGGCACAATGGCTGGTGGACTATACTGACATCAAACTTGTTGGTAAGATATGTACTTCATTTTCTATTGGTTAGGAGTTAGACAGTAATGCCAGGCATCTCGAATGTGTTGGATACCAACTTCCATGATTCTGTCGACACACTGCAAGATATAGTGTGTTATATGTGGCTAAATTGCTAATGGATGCCTTGCATAATTTATAAAATGTGCTCTGTGATCAAATACTTTTTTCCGTTGAGTTCTTGGAATTGTTATACAGGTAATATCTGGATGTACAGTAGCATATGTCAAGTATCACTTTAACCGTTCCTTGTTGGCATCATCCTTGCCCTTATGGCACCTTCATCATTAACCATTTTACTACTAGCTCAGACTCAAGACCTTGTTCTTGCAGTATCTTCCACATAAATCACTTTACTCCTAACTGGTGCAATTCTTGGCCTTTGTTATGTGGATTCAGCTTGAATCTCTTCCATCTTATTCATCAGTATGGATGCAATCAGTATTAATTCAATCCTTTCTTGTCTTCCATCTACTCCTTTATAAATATGTTGGTTGCCCATAGGATTCATGTAACCAATCCCAAGTAGTTGAAAAAAAGGCTTGGTGGTGGTTGTTGTTTGGGTGCCTTCAACGTGCTATCTTTGTATTTATCGTACATTGGCCCATAAAGGTGTAACTCATCCATCCCAACACTAGTGTCTCTTTATACCTCTACTTGTGAGAAAGAGTGCGCCATGATAATGTCTGTGGACCTCTTGTATTTTATATAGATGCATAAATTTGTTTCATAGTCTTGCTTTTAGCATGAATGATATATTTCTATTCCTTATCCAAGAAATTCCAAGTTGATTAAATCTATTCAGAATTGAATATTTAACTGAACTTAGAATATAATACATTTGTACCTCTGGTTTTTTCTGTGACATGGGAATTCTAGTGGAAGCCATCTTGTTTGATATATAATAATTATATATACATTTTTTGACTGTTCTCTTGCAAATCTAATTGTGGCACTGACGAATCTGTCCTTTTTATTGTAGGAATTGATTACTTATCTGTTGCTGCCTATGCTGATTTGATTCCTTCTCATCTTGTTTTTCTCGAAGGCAGGGTAAGAAGATATATTTCCAATGAAGCAAGAAATTCTACGTTTTACTTTTGCAGCTCTTTTATCTGTTTCTGCCTTGAAATAATTGTCTTGTGGTTTCAGGCAGTTAAAGCATATCTATTAGAAGTTTTATTTTCCCTGAATTGTAGATAAACTTAGAACAAACATTACTCTATAATTACCAGCAAGATATTATATTGTACAATCCTTATTTCTGTCTTGTAAATCACTAAATACCAGCAATATATCTAGTGAGGAACCCATGCTCTTCCAATGTTTTCTGCCTCGTGAAGATCATCTGATGAGATAGAAGATCTATTCGTAGAATTTATGTTTTGAACTTTGTCTTCTGATCCAACTGCTCAATTAAAATCAACGTTCCTTCATTTTTCTTCTTTGTTTCTTTGCCTATGCAAATAAAAATGATATTCAATGTAGAGAAAATCATTGATTGATTAACAGGCGATGCAGTTAAAATCAATCCCATTATATGTTTTTGGCCCTCTTCTTTACATAAACTTTGTTTTATTGGAGATTCATTACTGACGGCTGAAATGCTTTAGGAAATCATTCTCGTGGAAGGGTTGAAACTTGAAGACGTCCAAGCTGGAATCTATGACGTCCATTGCTTACCTCTAAGGTTGCTTGGTGCTGAAGGCTCGCCTATAAGATGCATCCTCATCAAATGATACCTACCCTTGTAAGTATATTTACTAAAGTGATCCAATGGCCAAGTAGTCTCACAGCTCTTCCAGGTCAAAGTCTGCGTGTGTTTTACTTACCCAGAATTGGTGTCGTGATTCTCATTTTTAATTGGTTGTCCATAATTTTGGTGCAGGAAGTAATGACTGTCGCAGGAGGTACGAGTCCAAGAACTTGTTTGGCTTCGGTGTTGGAACTGCTCGTAACCAATTATAAGCTGTGGCTGTCTGATGCAAGAGGGGTTCAGTGTAGATAAAATTTATGATCTATTTAATTATTGTCTTATTTTCTACTTGGCTAGGTTTTATGATCGGCATACAAACTTACTGATACTACTTTATAGGGTTTAGAAATTGTGAATTTATTTCTCAGAAATATATATCATCATATTTCCTTGATATGATATCTGAACAAATTTTCAATGGAAATTATCGTTGGAGTAATCTTAATAAAGAGTTTAATTCTTCATAGAAAAATGTCTGTAATGAATACATGGATCCACACTAGATCAACTAAAATATCCTCTTTTAATTCACTGAAAATCCTAGATCCTCTTTTAATTCACTGGAAATCCTAGATCAACTGAGAGAAGTAGTTCGCATCACATTCACATATTTTCCATCCTAAGATTAGGGCTGGCAATTTGAATTTGCGGGTCGTTATCGTGTTGACCTAAGGGTATATAATACTAAATAGTTACTATTTAATTTGAACACGACTCGTTTAATAATTGTGTCGGCAGCTTTCAACACTATCTCGACCTGTTTATTTAATAAAACAAACATTACATTATTTAAATTATTAATAGTACTCGATCAAACAATAAATATTAAAGAAACATTCAATCTAATTAAATTACTAAATAATCTCTAATTTATAAAAGAATAAATTATAAGATACAAGTTAAGATTGTTATTTTGGAACTTAAATAGAAATTTGTTTATGACACGTATAGTTAAAAGAATTGAACCTCTCAACTCAAACACAACATGATTAACTAAATGGGTTACTCGTGTCGACACATTTATAATTCGAATTCGTTTAAGATCAACTCAAATCCACTTAACTCGTGTCGTATTCGAGTTGTGTTGATGAATCGTGTCAAACTGTGCCACCACTAATTCTAACAACACTCAAATTGGAGAATTATTTAAACAATTGCGTAATTTTCATTTTCACATGAACTAAATACAAATTCTATTTCTGGTTAGGCTGATTTAAGAGGCTGGATTAATAGGCACATGATCATTTGGTCGGTAAGACAACGTGTATTGGAAATTTGCTAATTATTTTTTCCTTTTTATCGTTGCTATAACATGGTGCTAAAGTGACACTCAATGTTCTCAACTAAAATGCTGCGCAAGGTACTCAAAACCCAGATAAGTGTTAACCAATTTGACATCTTCCTCGTACCATTCTATTATACTACTACTCACAGGGTCAAAATTGTAGTTATGGACCCATTCATGATAAATAGAAGATAGATGATAACGGGATAATTAGGTGAATACATAGAAGTAGTGTCTATTTTGTCAAGAAATTATTGTATTGTCCCGACCAATTATATAATGACACATAAAAAAAAAAAAAGTAATAAAATTGACACAAAACAGACATATTTATTTATATATCACCATGTAATTGACAAGGGACCAATAAATTCCAAAATAATGTAATAATTTCTCTGTTTAATCGTAGGAATAATATATTAAATAAAAACTCATGTGTTGAGTAGAATTTGGGGAAGTGTTTTATAAGTAAGTTATAGAGATGGACTTTGGATGACTTTGAGTTGAAAAAGTGACACGTGAAAGATGACATTTCAAGGAACAATTTGGAAGGAACAATTGGTTTGATCCGGGATATTAGGCTTTAGATACCTTAACATGCATGCTCTTTCTCAACTCCTATAAAAAGGAGTTTTGGTGATCACAATTTCATTCATAAACAAACTGCTCACTGCTTCAATATTTAATAAGAAAAAGAAACTCATTGCCCACTAAGTTTCTGATTCAGATCAGTGTTGCTCATCAACACCATTGGTTTCAATGGCTCAATCCATTAGGCGCCAGTCTCTGTGGATTGTCTTGTTGATGTTCATAGCCATGGCTGTGGCAGCTTCATCAGAAAGTGATGGTGGTTCTGAGTCTTCCGGTGGATCGAAGAATGATGGTCAATCTGGCCACAATGATGGTAATAATGGTGACGGTCAATCCGGGAATAATGATGGTAACAATGGTGATGGTCAATCCGGCAATAATGGCGGTGGCTCTAAGAAAGATTCTCCTCCTCCTCCTCCCAAGAACGATGATGGCAGCGAATCTAGGAAATCCCCGCCACCTCCTATGCGTACTCCTCCTACTCCTACACCAACTCCTTCATTGTCACCACCTGTTACCACTTTCTCTCCACCATCATCTAATCCTCCTCCCTCTCCAACACCTCCTACACCATCTCCACCTACTCCAACCCCATCTCCGCCTTCATCAAACTCTCCTCCGCCCCCACCCAAGAAAGTCAAGTGCAAGAACAAGTACTACCCTAAGTGTTACGACATGGAGCATGCATGCCCCAACTCTTGTCCTGGTGGATGTCTGGTGGATTGTGTCTCTTGCAAGCCTGTCTGCAGTAAGTCTCTGTCTCACACTCAATTTTATTAGAAATGATCAAACTATGAAGAGAAAAATAATACACCCTCCCGATTCAGAGGATGGTGACGGATATTGTATGAGTGGAATGTCATGACATCATCCTGACATCATGTGATGAAACTAGTCATACCCTCACTCACATATAATACATTAAGTAATAACACAAAACCTTATCGTCAACTTCAAAAGATAGAGTCTAACAAAAACTCTGTCAACTTTTCATAATGATAAATTCTCTCTCATATATAAGTGTTTATCTCAATGATTACTTATCACATCAGTGGCCAACAATGGGCAAGTTTATCATTTTCCATACCCTTTGGTCAATGGCAGAGTGTGATATGCCAGGAGCAGTGTGCCAAGATCCTCGCTTCATAGGCGGCGATGGCCTCACTTTCTACTTCCACGGCAAGAAGGACTTAGACTTTTGCCTCGTCTCAGACTCCAACCTCCACATCAATGCCCATTTCATTGGCAGAAGAAACCAGAACATGAGGAGGGACTTCACTTGGGTGCAATCCATTGGTGTCCTCTTTGACAACCATAAGCTCTTTATAGGTGCACAAAAAACAGCAACATGGGATGACACTGTGGACCACCTCGCCCTCGCCTTTGATGGAGAGCAAATAGTCCTTCCACAAACTGAGGGAGCAAAATGGCAATCCGAGGCCACACCAAATGTGTCCATCACTAGGATCAGTGACACCAACACCGTGATTGTTGAAGTTGAAGGGAACTTCAAGATCACAACCAAGGTTGTGCCCATCACAGAAGAAGACTCTCGGGTGCACAACTATGGCATTACCAGTGATGATTGCTTTGCTCATCTTGATCTAAGCTTCAAGTTCTTGTCATTGAGTGATGAAGTGAATGGTGTGTTAGGACAAACGTATAGACGTGATTACGTGAGCCGAGTGAAGGTGAATGTGCCCATGCCTGTAATGGGGGGAGGTAGAAAGTTTGCAAGTTCAAGCCTCTTTGCTGCAGACTGCGCTGTGGCTCGGTTTGATGGTGGCTATAACTCTCGTTGGGGAGTTTCTTCAGAAACTGGTATAGAGTTGCTGAGCTTAAGCTGTGGCAGTGGAATGGATGGGCAAGGAGTACTTGTCTGCAAGAGATAGATTTCTTAGCTCTCATTTTCATTGTTGGAAACTTGTTGTAATAAAGAATAAGCTTGTGGAAGCCACTGCAAATATTTTCATTGTTCTTGAAAAAGTGTCCAAAATCCAACTACTTTTTGTCTTTCATTGTGGGTTTAATGTTATATACGGAGTTTATTAAGTGGTTCGATTTATTTCAGGATTACATGTTAGGGATTACATGGTGGGTTGAATTCGTGTATACTATTTGATAGTGTCCGATCATAATCTTTCGAAAAAATAATAATAATAATAATAAGGTTAACCAAAATACTAATGTGAAAGATAGAAAAAAGTGCTCAATCATTTTTTAAACTATTCTTATTATTTTCATGTACCATTTTTATGCATAGACTTGCTACTTTTGTGTACAGAGTTACAACTCTTATGTATCCATGCATGTACCTTTTTGTACAGATTGACCATGCCATTAAGTACCACCTATTGTGCACACATACATGGTCGGCATAAAAATTCGTACCTTCATGAAATAGTAAAGGTAGTTTGAAAAATGAATATTTTTTTTTCCATGTTACATCAGTATTTTGGTTAATTACGATAAATAAGTTAAGGAAAAATTACAAAGCAATATGATATACAGTATTAATCGGGGTTGTGTTCTTCACATGCATACATGTATTTTATAAAAATAATTCTAATACTGTATCCGACTTTGTTTCGACCTCCAACAAAAATCAGAAAATATTCCGTAGCCTCCTCAACATACTAAAAAATACAATTTTAAAGTACTAAGCAAAGGTTTTGTACCGAAAACTGACATGCCCGGTTATTCTTAATGGGTCGTTTCTACATAAAAAATATTAATAATAATAATAATTAAAAATATATATACTTCAGAAGGGTGGTTTTATACAGAGGGTTACTCCGGAAGGAGAGGGTAACGTAGTTTGTGGAATTAGATCCAAATCAATGTTTTTATCTGTCGTTTTTTTTTTCCTTGTATGGTTAAGCAAATATATTAATAATAAAATATAATACTTAACTACTCACTGGTGAATAGGGTGAAGTTACTCACCTCTATGTGGTCCAATAATAAAATAACACATCACATTTAATAATAAAATAATTCACACCTAAAAACACTATATACGTTTATTCAATGTTTGATCCGAGAAAACAGAGAAATGTGTGGATTATTTTATTATTAAATGTGATGTGTTATTTTGTTATTGGACCACATAGGGGTGAGTAGCTTCACCCTACTCACCAGTGAATAGCTAAGTATTATCCAATAATAAAAAAGATACAAAGAAACCAAGAGAGGCCCAGAGGGAAACAAACAATGGCAGATAAAAAATAAATAAATTAATTAATTTCTGCAAAATTTGATTCAAACAAATTTTATTTTATTATTATTTTTTTTAAGTGAATAAAACCACCACTTGCTGACATGAGTTATTAAGAATACTGTAATATTTATAATTTATATATATATATATATATATATATATATATATTTTGTGGAGGAAAAATAATAATAATAAAAGAGGTTAGGTATTTCATTAATGGTGGAACCCACCATTTCAACTTTTTGTGGCCAAGAGGCCATTTCATGCCTCAGTTCTCTCTCTCCCAGGCAGACTCACTTTCCCTCTCTTTTTCTTTTCTACAAAACTTTAAGCCTTAATCTCACTTTCATCTTTGTGAATTTGGTTTCATCTTTGTGAATTTGGTAGAACCTTGTGAAGCAAAGTTGTAAAGCTCGTTGAGGCCGTCAATTTGTTAGGAGCTAAACAACATTTGGACAAGCCTAGGGATTTTGAATTTAGGGTTTGAAATTGGGAATTTTGGGGCTTTTCTTCAACTTGAGGTAGGGGTGTTCTAATCTACAACTTTTTGGGTCTTTTGTGAATTTTTTTCCTTTAAATTTGATCCTAAGCATGCTAATTTTTTATTACTTAGTTTGTGGTTGTTGTAATTATATGTAATTAAAATAATAAATGTGTTTCATGTGTTATTTGAGTTCATATACATGACTATTTTCATTACGATGAATGAGCATGCTTAATGTTGACATGTTGTATGTTCTTTTTTTTTTTTTTTTTGCTTTGAAAAAATTGATGCTATGGTTATGAAAAAAAAAAAAAAATGATTGTTTAGAAATTCCTACTAAATTGTGATGATGATGTAAATGGAATATGTGAAATTTTATAGTTAAATTGATGATTTGAAGTATGAAACATTCATGCATCCATTGAGAAAGAAAATGGAAAAAGTGTTTTAAAACAAATGAAATTGTTTTGGGAAAATTGTTTTCTAAAAGTGGTTGCGAAAACTGGACACCTAGGAGGTGCCTAGTGGTCCGTGGTGTTAGTGTAGTCTATAGGGGACTAGGGTGAGACTCTATCGTAGTTGAGCTAACTAGGACGGATACAACGCCTTGGAGGTGCCTTGTGGTCGTGGATGGTTAGCCAATCCTTCTGTGATGCCTTGGCGGTGCCTTGGGTCGGATTATACTAACGGTTTGAAAATTAAAACGGAAATGTTTCGAGAACGAGGAGCGACATTGGCATGACATTGCATTTCCTTAGCATATATGGTGTATTTGTGATTGGATGACATTTATTTATATACTTGTTGTTATAATTACTGATGTGCATTCCCGATGGTATGATCCCGTCTACTTTTCACCTATTCTTTGCGTGGATTCACGAGGTCATAAGAATTGTGTCTTAGACACTTCTTACTGAGCTTATGCTCACCCTATTATTTTTAACATTTTTCAGGTTTGGGAAAAGAGGTGGTGGACGACGATTCACCACAAGTTTAGACGAAATTGGAGATCTATTTTATTTTGCTATTTTTTGTATTAGAATTCTGATATTTTGTAAATGTATTCTTAACTATTTTGTGAAACTTTAGTTTAATTGGTATAATATTGTAAGTTATAAATTTTTAAATTTTAGCTATATTTTATAGACTATAACTTGATGTAACTAAAATGTGTTCCTTGTTTGGATGAGATGGAGGAACGGGACTTTTTATATGTATGTAATCATTTTTGGAATGTGCTATAATATTTATATTGTGGCATGTATATTTCAACAGATTCTAGAGAAATTTATTTTACGGAGGTCATGCTGAAATTTTATATATTTTATTATTATTATTATTATTGGTATCTTTTTAGACTGTTACAAGTACATTCGCGTTTCTTTTTCTAGATGCTTCTCATTTTTCTTAGTAATTTATAGCAAGAACAAATAAGAGAAATTCAAGAAGCGAGAAGATGGATAATGCTTATTTTTATTTATTTATTTTTTAAATTTAAACAGATGTTTAAATTGCACTCGACCACATCAGCGGTGAGGTTGAAGTTTGTTCTGCCAAGGCAGGACCCAAGCAATATTGTCCTATACTGTTGTATATTTGAACTTGCTTTAAAATGCTCTTCGGCTACACAATGGACTCATTGACAATCCAGGTAAAATAAATACATAATCTAAACAATTATGCAAAACTGATTTGATTTGATTTACTCTTTTATTATTTCTAATCCAATTATATTCCTTCTTCCCATCTTCTTACTTCTCCATTCCTTCTGCCACGAAATTTTTTACAAAAATCTCCGATATTGGCTGTGTTGTTCCTGTGACAGATCAATAAAATCGAATATTTTCTTTCAATTCACTGAAAATCCAAGACTAGATCAATTGTGATTGTGAGAAGAGGTTCACATCACAGACACACATTTTCTACTCAAGTTTGAGTACATAATTTATCAACTGATTAAGTAAAGTCGCTACAAATTATGCTTCTGGTTAGGCTGATTCAAGAGGTAGGATTAATAGGCACCAGATAATTTTTTTTTTTGACAATCGTGGATGTCCAAGCCAGCTTACGTGCACCTTGACTAATCCCACGAGACTCTCAAATTAATGACAGGACAAGCCTCTAATGACTTTAAGGAGACTCGAACTGGTGACTATTAGGGAGCTAACTTAAGGCCTGACCAGTTGAGCAACCCTGTAGGGTTAGGCACCAAATAATTTGATCGCAAGGTAACACAAAACATGTATTGCTAATTTGTTATTTTTTCTTTTTAATCATTGCTTTTATGAATATAATTTAGTGCTAAAGTGACACTCAATGTTCTTAATTTAAAATGCGCAGTTGTAAAGGTTGATGGGTTGCGCAAGGGACCGAAAACCCATGTAACCAATGCGAGAAGGAAAGTGTCCTCTTAATACTTCAAGTCTTCAATATATACATTACAGTTTAACTTCCGAAAAAAAAAATAATAATAAAAATAAAAAAAAATCTTCTTCATAAAGTTTTCTCAATGGGCACCCTTCTGTTTAATACTACTTCTTTTTGGGTCAAAATGGTAATTAAGGACACATTCATGATTAATAGAAGAAATAGATGTGTTTCACCATTCTAATCTTAGACATGAGGAGTAATATATTAAATGAAAACTCACGAGTTTGAGTAGCATTTGTTTAAAGTGTTTTATTTTCTTTGTGGTCAAGTAATGTCACGTTAATATTAAAAGCAACAAACTAGACAAATATAAAATGACTGTAATTAATAGAGAAATTTTTACGTCTTTCAGGATTACATAATCTTGACAATCATGTATAATTTGACATATTGGTAAATATATCAATTTTATTTATATTTCGACAAATTACTATCCTATTAGTAAGCAAAAATTAATTAAATTAAAATTGGTACATTTATTTACGAATTGGCTAGTAAGAGTAATAATTTCTCATCATTAAGAAATTATAGAGGTGGACTTTGGATGACTTTGACTTGAAAAAGTGACATGTGAAAGATGACGTACTTATCAAGGAATAAATTGGTCTGATCCGAGGTAATAGGCTTCAGGGACCTTATTACATGCTCTTTCTCCACTCCTATAAAAAGGAGTTTTGGTGATAACAATTTCACTCATCCAAGAAGAAACTGATCACTGCCCACAGAGTTCATATACATAATAAGAAACTCAATTGTCCACTGAGTTGTCACTCGAGTGTTGCTTATCAAGACCATTGGTTTCAATGGCTCAATCCATTAGGCGCCAGGCTTTGTGTGGATTGTCTTGTTGGTGTTCATAGCCATGGCTGTGGCAGCTTCATCAGAAAGTGATGGTGGTTCTGAGTCTTCCGGCGGATCGAAGAAAGATTCTCCACCCCCTCCTAAAAATAATGACGACGGTCAACATGGGAATAACGATGGTAATAATAATGATGGTCAACATGGGAACAACGATGGTAACAATGGTGATGGTCAATCCGATGGTCAATCCGGGAATAATGATGGTAACAATGGTGAAAAGGGCGGTGGCTCTAAGAAAGATTCTCCTCCTACTCCTCCCAAGAATGATAATGGTGGCGAATCTAGGAAATCACCGTCCCCTCCTAACCGCACTCCTCCTCCGGAGAATGATGATGGTGGTGAATCTAGGAAATCCCCGCCCCCTCCTAAGCGCACTCCTCCTCCTACCCCTACATATCCACCTCCCGTTTCATCCTCTCCGCCGCCATCACCTCCTGCACCTAAACCAACTGTGCCGCCTCCTAACACAACTCCACCACCATCTCCTTCTCCTCCTACCTCAACTCCCCCCTCATCAAGTTCTCCTCCACCACCCCCATCTTCACCTTCACCTTCGCCACCTCCCAGTACTAGTCTCTCTTCACCTCCACCACAAACACCATCACCTACTCCTCCAACTCCTACACCACCTTCATCTACTCCTCAAACTCCGCCTCCATCTACACCAACTCCTCCATCCTCACCACCAACTCCTACTCCTTCTCCAACACCTCCTACACCATCTCCACCTACTCCAACCCCATCTCCACCTTCATCAAACTCTCCACCGCCCCCACCCAAGAAAGTCAAGTGCAAGAACAAGGACTATCCCAAGTGTTACGACATGGAGCATGCATGCCCCAACTCTTGCCCTGGTGGGTGTCTGGTGGATTGCGTCTCTTGCAAGCCTGTGTGCAGTAAGTCTCTATCTCATACACTCAATTTTATTAGAAATGATCAAACCATGAAGAATAAAGAAAAATGACGCATCCTCCAAATATGGAGGATGATGACGAGATATTGTATGAGTTGGGTGTTATGGATGGCGACACCCCCAATCACATATATTCTATTCAGCATCTCCAAATATATGATTGTTCAATTATAAAAGTTGTTAATACAATTAATCTGTAAAAGTTTATAATATACTTTTTAGTAATGCCTAAAAAATTGGTCAATTTTTGTATCAATTTTAATAGATAGAGCCCAACAAAGACTCTTGTCAGCTTCTCAGAATGGCACATTTTCTTTCATTAGTGTTTATGTCAATCATTAATTATCACATCAATCAATGATATTGACAAGTTTATCATTTTCCATACCCTTTATTTCAATAACTACCATCCTCAAATTAATTCCCTAAATTTGTTGTTTCTTTGGTCAATGGAAGAGTGTGATATGCCAGGAGCAGTATGCCAAGATCCTCCGTTCATAGGCGGCGATGGCCTCACTTTCTATTTCCACGGCAAGAAGGACTTAGACTTTTGCCTCCTATCCGACTCCAGCCTCCACATTAATGCCCATTTCATTGGCAGAAGAAACCAGAACATGAGGAGGGACTTCACTTGGGTGCAATCCATTGGTGTCCTCTTTGACAACCATAAGCTCTTTATAGGTGCACAAAAAACAGCAACATGGGATGACAATGTGGACCACCTCGCCCTCGCCTTTGATGGAGAGCAAATAGTCCTTCCACAAGCTGAAGGCACGAAATGGCAATCCGAGGCCACACCAAGTGTGTCCATCACTAGGGTCGGTGACACCAACACTGTGATTGTTGAAGTTGAAGGGAACTTCAAGATCACAACCAAGGTTGTGCCTATCACTGAAGAAGAATCTCGGGTGCACAACTATGGCATTACCAGTGACGATTTCTTTGCTCATCTTGATCTAAGCTTCAAGTTCTTGTCATTGAGTGATGAAGTGAATGGTGTGTTGGGACAAACGTATAGACGCGATTACGTGAGCAGAGTGAAGGTGAATGTGCCTATGCCTGTAATGGGGGGAGGTAGAAAGTTCGCAAGTTCAAACCTCTTTGCTGCAGACTGCGCTGTGGCTCGGTTTGATGGTGGCTATAACTCTGGTCGGGGAGTTTCTTCGGAAGGTATAGAGTTGCCGAGCTTAAGCTGTGGCAGTGGGATGGATGGGAGAGGAGTTGTGTGCAAGAGATAGATTTCTAGCTCTCTCATTTTCATTGTTGGAAACTTGTCGGAAAGAATAAGCTTGTGGAAGCCACAACAACAAATGTTTTTCGTTGTTTTACAATTGTTTTTGAAATATGGTTCAAACACTTCTTGTAATGGTGCTCAAATTAGTGTCTCTTATCCATCATCTCATTGATTTATCTATAAATCATTTTATTTTGTGAAACTTTATATTTTTATTCTCTTCTTTAAATTCAAGTTTTCAACCACACCCCATGCCTCAAACTTTATATTTTAAATTCTCCTCTTTATATTATTATTACTTCATCCGTCCCAATTTAAGTGTCATTTACGGAAAGTAATATTTTTTAAGAGGACATGTGGGACATACATTGTCTGTCGGAAAAATTACTAATTTGTTTTTTTAAGTTTTTAAATATTCAAGTTTGAAATTTTAACCTCAAAAAATATATATGGAAATATGTGAAACATATTGTTTGAAAAAGGAAAGTGGACACTTATTTTAGGACAGATCAAAAAAAAAAATCATGACATATTTTGAGACGTAAAGAGTATTTTTTTTTCTAAAGGTTAAGCAAACACACCTCACACTTTTATTGGGACTCTAACTCTGCTTTGAGAATAAAATAATATACTTTATTTTATTTTTTTTGGAACATTAATCATGTTATAAATGTTGCATTCATCTAACTTGTTGCTTGGATATCAAATTATTTATATATAAAAAATATATATAAAAAAAAAAGGCAGTTTCGTACCAAAACCCTTATAAACCCCTGAATGACGATGAGAGAGCTCAAAGACGACTACGTGATATTGGTGGTAGCTCCGAGACACCAACGCTTGCATGGCCAATGTACTTTGGCGAGTGATGATCGTTGACTTCCCCACTATTGCCGTCGTTCTGGTCAAAATGGAGACCAACTTGTTCATGCTCGACGAAGAATTCATAGCCCATCGCCTAGGGCTCATCCTCTCAAAAGCTTCTAAGCCATTAACATGCGCATATCACTTGATTACGATGCCTGCGTCAATGACCAAACCTAGACGTCACCAGCAAGGATCTCTACAATTCGGACCACATAATTGGGCCCGTAGACTTCTCGGATTCCTTTTCCTGTTACGACAATCCTGAACAGAGGTCTCTCGCCATATATATATATATATATATATAATTGTTTATATCTCTATGTGTTTGTGTGTTACTAACATATATTCTTACTACTCAGATGAAAGCTTATTGTGTTCTTAGTATAAAACATTTTCTCTTCTCACTTTTCCTTCCGTTTTGTGTTTTTGCTCTGTTTTTTGTTAAAAAATTTATATATTTTTTATGTGAAAAAAAAAAAAAAAAATTGTTTAGTTTAAGCACACCGTGTTTTTTGCTTTAATTTATTAGGATTTATAATCATTTATAATTGCTTGAAATGTGGATTTCGACTTCTGTTGATATGCATGCCACAATGTCCACCGAGGTGGCACCCACGTTGAAAATAAACACACTTGGTCTCTGCTGACCTGGCATACTGTTGATATACATGCCACAATGTCCACCGAGGTGGCACCTAGGTTGAAAATAAACATGCTTGGTCTCTGCTAACCTAGCATACCTCTAAAAGGAATCAAGTAGACTCGAGCTACTTGCTCCGAAATCTGAACTCACCAGCCGAGGCAGGAGTCGCTACCCTTCCTCTCCTGTGGACGCGCCCTGCTCTAGTCGGATGGGCTCCTCCTCCTCCCCTTCCTTCCCAAGGTCACCTCTTGTAGGAGCAACCTTGGGCATCCCTATACCGAGACCTCCTCTGAGCTGGGGAAGCCTCGAGGCACGAGAAAGAATTTTGCGAGGCTAAGAAGGCTGGGCTTCGGAGAAGGTTCTTTCTTCATTGTCAGTTCGGGAGACTGAGGACATGTGGACAGGTGGCTGGGATCCAAAGAATCACCTCTACTTGGGTCAACACATGGGGGAAAGGACAATTGATACCCTAGCTCGAGCATAATGAAAGATGTATTAATTATGGAATGGCATTTGATGAGACTTGCATTAATTTAGGAGCGCCATTACCTCTTTAGACCAGAGAACAAGGCGCCGTAACCCACCTACCAATATCCCATCTGCCAGAGGAGGGGACCCTTTGACCCTTGGGTAATAGAGGAGGTTCTCTTTAAAGGCCGAAGGGTATTAACCGAGGGATGAACCCTATAAATAGGCGCATTAATCACTCTTTGATAACAACAACTATTACACTGAGAAAATAATTAACAATAGGCTCGAGCTACTGAGGTATCATAGTCAACCTTCCCTTTTTCAATCTCTGACCATAGAGAATCCCTTGTATTACTTGGATCCCCACTCGGATGCTGGTCCCCATTCTCCTGGCTTACGTGAAATAATCTCCTCATCCTACTCACGAACTACCATCAACAACTTCTTTTGAAATTTCTTTTATTTCTATGTTTTTCCTTAGCTGACTTCGGGCAGTAGCTAGCTTTAAGGGGGTTTTGGTTCAAATTATGTTTGTTTTTCCATATGCCAATATATATATATATATATATATATATATATATATATATATATATATATATATATATATTTTATTAGCACTATAAACTTGAAAGGAAAGAAATACGGAATAAACATTTTCTCTATATTAGCACACAATTCACAAGTTTACACGAGTTTTCTTTATAAGAGAAAATACACGCACATGACTAGCTGGCCTAATTAATAATTTCCTAGTTTATAACATTTGACCAATATTCTATTTATAGCAAATATCCTCCAAATATTATATTTACGGCTAATAATATTTGGTAGTATTACTACCAAATCTTTCCTTTTCAACACTCCCCCTCAAGCTAGTTTGAAGATATCCTCCAAAACCAGCTTGCCAATTAGTCTGTCGAACTGTCTTGTAGGAAGTCCCTTCGTAAGCATATCTGCAACTTGCTCGGTAATATAAATGTACGGCATACAGATCAATCTTTGTCTACCTCCACGTGCTTTGTTCTGTCATGAAGCACTGGATTGTGAGCGATCGAAATAGCAACTTTATTGTCATAGTACAATTTCATAGGCAACGGATTAGAGACCTTTAATTCATCCAATAGTCTCTTAATCCATAACACCTCACAAATTCCATGAGCAACTGATCTAAACTCGGCCTCTGCGCTACTTCTTGCTACTACATTCTATTTTTTACTCCGCCAAGTAACAAGGTTACCTCCAACAAAGGTGCAGTAGCCAGAAGTTGACCGTCTATCAATAGCACTCCCAACCCAATCCGCATCAATATAGGCTTCAACTTGCAAATATCCACAGTTTTTTAACAGTAGACCTCTTCCAAGGGTCCTCTTTAGGTATCTGAGAATTCTGTATACTGCATCAAAGTATTCTTGTCCATGTGAATACATGAACTGGCTAACCATGCTGACTGCAAAAGCTATATCTGGACGTGTATGTGACAAGTAGATCAGTCTTCTAACAAGTCTTTGATACTGCTCTCTATTCATAACTTCTTTATCTTTAGAAGGCTGCAGCTTAAGGTTGGGCTCAATAAGTGTCTCGGCTGGTTTACATTCTAGCAGATCTGTCTCACTAAGTAAATCAAGAACATATTTACGTTGATTCACAAATATACCTTCTTTGGATCTAGCAAACTCTATTCCAGGAAAGTATTTTAATACACCCAAATCCTTGATCTCAAAGTCAGCTGCAAGTCTCTTTTTTAGTCTCTCAAATTCTTCATTGTCATTACCTGTCAAGCTGAAATCTAACTGGTGTAATGGCTAGCTGAAATTCACAGTCAAAAATAACAAAATTCTGATTGAGTTTATCTTAGCTACAAGAGCAAAAGTTTACTGATAATTAATTCCATAGGTCTGGGTGAACCATTTTGCTACTAGTCTTGCCTTGTACCTCTCTATGCCACCATCAGCTTTACATTTCACAATAAAGACCCACTTGCAGCCTACTATTCTTTTCTCCTTAGGTAAATCAACTATCTCCCAAATAACACTTCTTCTAAGAACATTCATCTCTTCCATCACTGCTAACTTCCAATTCGGATCATCTAGAGTTTCCTTAATATTTCTCGGGACAAACAAGTGTGAGATTTTTTAGGTAAAAGCCCTATGAGTATGAGAGATTTTTTCATAAGAAAGGTATTTAGCAATGGGATATTTGTGATTTGGATATTTAATTTGAATACCTTTCCTAACAGTTATAGGAATATCAAGGTCTGATGGTTCTTGGTTAGGAGAAACAATAAGAACTGAAGATGAATTAGGAACGGAATTACCAGTGATATCTGGAGGTCCAGTTCCCGAAGGTTAAGATTGATCATTTCCAAGAGAAATAGGTTGACTTTGACTTTTTTGATGAGGTATTCTCCGAGTATAAACCAGAGACTCAGTATTGGGAACTTTAGTACCCGGTTGTAGTGATTCTTCCCCTGTTTCAGATACAATAATGTTTGGCACTATTTGACTAGGATTCCTTTCGTTGTTTTCATTAGTTTTATCACATTGTTCCTGACTTTGAATTTCGAGAATAACAGTAGGATGAGGTGAAGGAGTCAAAATCACATTTGGTAAAGGAGTAGGAGATAAATCTCAAAAAATTTCTTCCATCACCTCATTCTCCCCCTGAAGAATTTTTTTGAAAAAGTAGGATTTATTTTCAAAGAAAGAGACATCCATACTTACATAAAATTTTCTTGTTTGGAGATTATAACAATTATATCCCTTTTTGATTAGAAGCATACCCTATGAAAACACATTTTTCAGCTCAAGGATTAAGTTTTGACCGAGTATTATTGGGTATATGAACAAAAACTATGCAGCCTTTTAGAGGTAAATCCGAGTATATCCTTGATAATGGAAAAATTCTTTTGAAACATTCTAATGGCGTGCTATATTTTAAAATACGTGAAAGCATTATATTAATCAAATACTAAACTGTTAAAATAGCTTCCCCCCAAAGATATTTTGAAACATTCATTGAAAACA